TGTGTGTGTGTGTGTGTGTGTGTGTGTGTGTGTGTGTATGCACGCACCCACGCAGGATGGGAGGACAAGTAGGTCACCCATTTCAGCACAATGAGAGAATTGTTATATCTAGCATTCAGAGCCCAGAGGCGAGGGAACCTGAGTCAGCATGGGAGGGCTTCCCAGAGGAGGCAGTACTCAGCTGGAAGGATGAAGGGTGATTCCCAGGTGCAGGAAGGAGGGAAGGGGAGGCACCCTAGGCAGAGGGCCACGTTATGCTGAGCTCCGTGGTTTTCTGTGACTGAGGCCACTGCCTTCCGGGTAGCTCCAGGACCCGATATCTGCCCCGGGTCGTATTAGGAGCCAGTTCCAGTCTCTGGCTGGCTGGCTCAGTGCCTTCGCCTGCAGACATGAGTGTGCCGCAACTGAAGGAGGAAGAGGGAAGAGGACAGAAGGCAGGGACTCTCCCTTCTTTTACTTCCACCACCCTCCCCAAGGGGAGAAATCCTTACGTCCTTTGATAGAGCCCCAGCAGGGAGAGAGGCAGACACTTGCAGGACACAGGATGGGGATCTGGGTGTCCTGCGTGGCAGAATCCACAGGTGGCCAAGCTGATGGCTGTTCTTCCTTCCCCCTTCCAGGTTACATTCACCCCCTACGTCCCGGAACCCAGAAGCTCGTGCCATCCAACAGAATACTATGAAAAGAAGGCCCAGATGTGCTGCAGCATGTGTCCTCCTGGTGAGGGACAGCCACTGGGCGCTGACCCTCAGACCAGCTCGGTCCCTGGGGGCTGACGCCTTGGAGGGAGTGTGTGTACGAGGGTGAAGGGGCACGGTCATAGCCCTCAATTCTTACTGAGCTTCTAATTCCATGAACTGGCCCTATACTTCTGGGCCTTTGCACATGCTGTTCCCTCTTCCCAACTCCCTTTCCCTGCTAAATGCCTCCTTATCCTTTAGACCTCAGCTTAGATCTCCCCCTCCTCCAGGAAGCCTGCCTATCCTGCCTGGCCTGATCTGGTTCCTCCTTTGAACTCCCAGTGGTCTCTTTCGTCCCCCTTGGCAGCCACTCTTTTCACCCTGTGCTATCATGGCCTGGATACTCTTTTGCCACCCCCCACTGTGCATTCCTCTAGGACAGAGACTGGGCTTGTTTTCCACTGAATCCTTAGCACCTGGCACCATGCCTGGCACATACTGGGTGCTCAGTACGTATTTGACCAAATCGATGAATGCTTGTCCATTTCACAGATGGTGGACTTGAGGTCTAGCCCCAGTCAGGGAAGCTAGGTGACCCAGCTCCCAGTGCCATCTGTCCATTCATTCATTTATACCTTCATTCCTATAATATTGATAAAGCACCTACTAAGTGTCAGGCACTGTTCTAAGTGCTGGAAATATAATAGCGAGCAGGGCAGACACAATCCTTGTCCTGATGGAGTTTGCATTCCAACAGAGGCACAGACAAATGAACCAACAAAAGGAAATAGATGTGTGGTCCTACCAGAGAGTAAGTGCTGTGAAGAATACGAGGCAGGGGAAGGCAGATGGAGACAGATGGAGTAGGACCTGTTGTTGTATACAGGGTGGTCAGG